CCTGAGTGTTGCGTGTACATCCGTTTCACAAGTCTGACTCGTTTGCATGCAGACTGTTGGTTCCTTGCCTCTTAGGCAGATGCCTCCGACTTCGAAGAATGCTCCCAATTAATCGACTCTTACGACATGATTTTGGGTAGGCAGTGAGTCTATTCTTGTTTTTCCCCACAATTGGACCCCGAAACCCACACGGGGATTTCATGTATATACTTGTCAACAGGCAAAGAAAAAAAGGTGTGGCGGGGTGGGGGGGGGGGGGGGGGGGTACAATCCTGATAATATTTGTTTCTCACCCCCAAATTTGCATTCTCTGATAAACATTGCAGGAATGAGAAACAAACTGATTCAAATCCCGGAAACCACGTAAATATATTGTCCTATAACACCGTGAGACTGTGACACAACAAAGATTGTTACGACGTAGCCTGTTGTCCAGTTAGGACAGACATAATCATATTAATAACAATAATACTTAGCATGTTAACAGTATGCTTAACTGTAAACTCTTGCGGAAAGTTCTGGTTGTTCAACCACTTCTGGACCGCAGTCCTATTCCAGAACCTGAGTGTTGCCTGTGTATCCATTATACAGATCTGACTCATGTGTATGCAAACTGCTGGTTCCTTGCCTCTCAAGCAGACGCACTCCGACTTTAAAGGAAGCTCCCATTTAATTGACTCTTACGACATGCTTTTAGGTAGGCAGTGGGTCTATTCTTGTTTTCCCTATAACAGGGCCCCGGAATCCACACGGGGAATAGTAAAATGTTATAACCAGGACAAAAACTAGCGAGGACATTCGCTAGAAACTCTAATGAAGAACTTCGGCCTCCAAAATCTGACTTTCCTTTGTTAGAGTGAACAGTTCCATTGCTTGCCTATAGAGTTTTGAGGTTTTGAACAACGGATCAACATTATGGCACGCGGGTGTAACTTATAAGTGCTCTGTTCTTCTAACTTGTCTGAGTTTGAAAAAGCTCAGCACAGTGCACAGGCTCTGTAGCACCGACGAGGATCCTGAAATAATTTGGGTAGATTTTTAACTCCAAAATTTGCTCGGGCAACGCCGTTAGGCTACTCTCTTCCATTTCCAACTGCCAAGGGATTTTTGTAAACACGGGCGTCCGATTTCACTACCCAGAGACCGGGGGAAAAAAAGGGGGGGGGGGGGTTAAACATGGCTAATGTCAAAAAAACTGAGCACACAAAAGCTGAAAGGAAATGACGATGATGTCGGCCAAGAGAGACTGTTTAGATAATATACACACATCAGACCTACACAACCGAGAGTCACCAGATGGAAGGAGACAGCCAAAGAGATGAAATGGTATGGGTGATATCTCCAGCGATAAACCTTAAGGAGCTTGGAATGCTGGAGGAGAATAGTTCGATTCCTTAAAACCGTCTCTGAGGGCAGTGAAAATAACTATGATCTCGAACAACAGCAACAGAAGTTTGTGAACCAACGCAAGCCTGTACTGACTGTCAGGTGTTTAACTCCAATATTTTACATTCAGTTGTTTATATTTCTCAACAGTGCGATGCTTATTCCGTTGTCAGAATCGACGCGAAGCGCAGGGGAAAAGGGAGAGAGGGGGGGGGGGGGGGAGATAGCGTTTAAAAAAAATAATTGACCACAGACACAAATGACATTTTATCTTAAATCAGTCAGTCAGGAAGAAATTGGAAGAGATGGGCAGACAGAGAGAATATATAGAGATCGAATTGTGTGAGAACAGTGTGGGAAAGGGAAGTAGGCAGGCGGACAGACAGACAGACAGAAGGATAGAATGACCGACAGGTGGACAGATAGAAGGATAGAGTGACCGACAGGTGGACAGACAGAAGGATAGACTGACTGGCAGGTGGACAGACAGAAGGGTGGACGGATGGGACGGATAGACATTCAAATAAACAGACAAAATGTGATAATTTCGTCTCATGAGGAGGATAGCCCTAGCAAACAACACACGATGGCCAACATCACAACAAACAACCATAGCTCCCCCGGTCACCGCTGTTATTCGTTGGCAACTGCCAATGAGGGTAAAAGAGACACACCAGAACGCAATATGACGTTAGCACAAGCTAAACAATTAGAAAAAGACAGGAAACTATACACAATCCGTCTTTGCGCCGCTCTATGCTATATGCACTAAGATAAAAGCAGAAGAATGTACGAATGGTAGCAATGAAATTTGAATTCTTTTTTGTCTATGGCCTTGGTTGCCAACGTACTCATACCTCTATGTGTCTATCTCCTGATGTTATTCTACTCTATGTATAGTTAGCTACCTCTTGCTCTTAAGCAGTTCCCTCCGTATTCAAGTGTTTGGACTTTGATTGTGGCCGAAATGTTTTATTTTTAGAACAACAACAATTTAGGAAATAATTTTCTCCTGTCTCCCCAGAAGCTCAACATCTAATTGCTTTTTGTTGTTTTCTAATTAGCTGACTTGTAGTTTGACTTTACGACATGCTTGTAGTTTTACTTTACGACATGCTTGTTAGGGGGCAGTGGATATATTCCAATTATCCCCGCCCCCTCTATTTCCCACAATGGGTCCCTGAACCCACACGGGTACTGCACAGTTTAATCACATTCAGTTTTATGTGTGGTTGTCTGTCGGCTCTGTGGCTAAGTCGATGCGAACGCTTCGTAATGTCAGGATTCCAGGTTCGATCCCAGCTGCGGGCCATGCGCCTTGCGTTTGTTTCGACAGTGGTATCAAGAAAGCTGACCGTCTAGAGGCAATGGTAAACTACTGGACGTAAATTTGCCTAGAGAAACCACACAACAGCCAGGGGATGTTGGGGTTGGTTCTGCAACGTCCTGTAAAGGTAATGCAAATAACAAGTATGGTTGTCTGGCTCCTGTCCGTCTGTCTACACAATAGTTTTATACTGTGCTAAAGATAGGAATGAGAATCACAACCCGTGGCGAGGGCGACAGCGACATGTGAAGCCTGCTTGTGTTCAGAAAATGTTTCCACGATTAGAGCAAATGATTTGAGGATCATTGTTTCCATCACGTGTATCTAACGTTCTTCTCGCACGCTCAGCTTCTTGCCTACTTGCAATCATTTTCTCATTTACCACTATTTCCTACCTATTCTTCTTAGCGTTCATCGCCTATAATCTCCGGCGGAAAGTTCTGTGTGTTCGTCCACCTCCGGACTTTAGTCTTGCTCCAGAACCTGAGTGTTGCGCGCCAATCCGTTTCAGAGAAATGGCTTATCTGTATGCAGACCTGTGGCTCCTTGCCTCTCATTGTGACTTCGAAGGATATCACCAGTTAGTAGACTCCTACGATTTGCTTGTTGAGGAGGCAGTGGGTATTCTTGTTTTTCCCCACAATAGGACCCCGGAACCCACACGGAGATATTCCACACCTGATTCCCCTCTCTAGGTAACACGGTCTTTGACATTTTGTTCCCACCAATCCATCCCAACAACGCTGGTATGCATCTTACTGGACAATTCTTGTTATAAATGTCTGATATTTTTCGCATGTTGTTGACAAAACTGTTTTGGCTTTCCTGTTGTATTCCGGACTTTTACTTCTCTGATGTGACTATCTGTTAGCACATGGCCAAGGTATGAGAAGCCTGTTGTAGCATCTCTTTGTTTACTGTGACGGTCTTTGATGTTCTTTACTTGTCAATTGCTAGTGATCATAGACTTACTAAAGTGAAATAATTAAATTGTCTATGAACATTCAGCACCAGTACTCGAAACCATAAATCTCTAATCTAATGACAGAATAATTGAACAGTGATCTGAAAGAACACAGTAAAATATATGTGATATGTGAAAGAAAACTGCATACGGAAAGTAAAGAAAACTGTATACAGTTATTTTTTTAACCTATGATACAAAAAGTCGGCTCTTTGGCTACGTCGCTGCGAACGCCTCGTAATGCTGGGAAGCCGGGTTCGATCCCAGCTGCAGGCCACGCGCCTTGCGTTGGTTTCGACAGTGGTATCAAGGGGCCGACCGTCCAGGGCAGTGGCAAAATAGTGGACGTGAAATTGCCTAGAAAAACACCACAACAGCCAGAGGCTGTTGGGGTTGGTTCTGCAACGTCCTGTAAAGGATACGCAACAACCAAATGATAGAAAAACAAGCTGACGCAGTTTAATCAATGTAACAAGGCGGTGAGAGATGGGCTCAGTGTTGTTTTGTTCAAAACTGGAACTAAGAAATCATCACCGGTTAGGGCAATAAACTCAGTGTAATATGGGCTATGAAAGATTCAATTAGGATTTTGTAGATATTCTAAATAGACACCTTGAACTGGCGCAAAAACCTTGGTATAATATGAGCTATGAAACATTCAGTTAGGATTTTGTAGGTATTCTAAATAAACACATTGAACTGGCGCAATAACAATAGTATAATATGGGATTTGAAAGATTCAGTTAGCATTTTGTAGATATTCTAAATAGACACATCAAACTGGCGCAATAACATTAGTACAATATGGGAAATGAAAGATTTACTGCTGATTTTATAGATATTCTAAATAAACACCTTGAACTGGCGCAATAACATTAGTATAATATTGGAAATGAATGCATTTGTGGAAACAGAATTAAACCAACATGAGCGCAATAAATTAATATATGGGAAATGAAGTTTACATTGACGATTCTGTAGCTTTTCAAAACGATGATTGGTGCAGTAATTATAGTATAGAAAATGAATCATAGGCTCATTGTTGCTGTTCTGGAAACATACTAATACAAACGTTTTGAACTAACGCAACGCGTTATTTTGAAAAAAATAAAAACCCACGAAAACTGGCGCATTAACATTATGAATAAATGGGAAATGGACTCCTTGTGAGAAAAACATGATGGACTGGTCCCTAAAGTCGAGACATGTAAGAAAGAAGATGTCATTTAAAAAATGTCCCGTCCCTTGAGGACTTGTTGCCTGTGTGTCCAGACTATATATTTGGACTTTGTATACATAAGGAAATACAAAAGATGCACTCAC